AACATTCGAGCCATATGAACGTTCAGTGTCATTTGGCACTTCAGGAAAACTTTATAAAATGCAACAAGGTCTGAAAACCTACACTCAATTTCTGGGTAACTTCCTGACCTTCCAGTGAAGGATCTCTGATCTCTGACAAACCAGATCGTCAAGAGCATTATGTAAACCAAGAGCATTATATAAACCAGAAATGTTTTTCATTAACTTTGTTAAAGGAATGCTTTATAAACGCCTTATTTAAATTCCTGCCTATTTCTGTCATTTTCAAGATTGCACAGGTTATAAAAGGGGATGATTTCCACCAAGCTGAACTCTGCCAAAAATGACTCCACACACAGCATCTATTCCAAGGCTCAAGTCTGAAAGGATTTGATATGAATTAAGGTGACTGTTAAAGAGTGGTACATAACAATTATTTATTTTATTATATAAAATTACGACCAATCTTCATTTTGGTGTATAGAATTCATTTTTCACTGCTTATTCATATCAAAACATGCTGTGATTGTCTTTCCAAAAACACTCCCCTTTGTTATCCAAGGAAATACAGTGGAAAGCACTTATAATTTTTTACCAAGTGCTCATTGAAACTGGGATTCATAACAGCTGAGGCAAGACAAATGATACACTTAATCATGTGAAAAGAGTTGGAAAGCAGCAAATCAACTATTTCATTTCTCTTTGCTTCCTATCAATAGCCAACTAAGCTGATGTGAATAAAGTACACGGGATCGCAGAAGTCATTTTGGTCAAACACACTTTGGTCTTCCACAGGATAATTCCTCTGGCTGCCATGACAACCAAACTAATGGGCTTCAGTGCTGACAAAGTGTAGAATTCAGCGAGTTCATAAAATTTAAGTATTTTGATAGACAAAGGACAGAGAAGCACAGAAGGAATAAAAGGCTGGCACTATTCTGAGCAACGTGCATCAGTAAAGATTAATGAAGTACCTCACAAACCTGCAAATAGAAATTCAATAATTGTTCCCATGAAGGAACAGCTCACATGCGTGAAAAATGCATATATTTTGTTAATCTATATTTAGCCTAGGTGTATTTAATGCCTCTCCATCTTCAGTAGTCCTTACTGAAATTTCTTTTCCTCTCTTATTCACCTCCCACATCGTAGGTAACATTACTATACTGCATTATCAGGTGCAAACTGTCCTTACGCAACAACCATGTGGTCTTTTCACCTTCACATGTCCATACAGCATCTTCTCTTACCACACAAACAACACCATACTAAATCATCCTATTTAAATTTACTATTGAGCCAAAGGAACACACTTCTCAAAAAAAAAAATCAATGCTGAATCAAAATTATGTCTTGCTTAAAAAACAGCAACAACTGTAGTCCTTGTTCTACTCAGTACATTATTAATTACTCATCTAAAGCACGTTCATCATTCTGTGCTCACTCTTGGGTGGTTTTTTGGTTTGTATCAGTGAAAACCTGTAGTATGACCTTTACCTGCATGTATTTTCACTATTGTGGCACCTGAGCACAATCAAAAGAAAACACAGTCAGCTTTTACCTGGGTTTCTGTTTAAAAGATTTAGTGCAGAGAGATAAGCACTACCACTTACAGAGAGCTAGGATACGGTGGGGTGGGGGGAAAGCAAATAAATGAAAAAGAGGGAGTCAAAATCCAAGGAAGAAATGCACTGCCTGAACTGTTTTCATTGCCAGCCTGTTTGGTGGAGGCTAAATAGATTTATTTTCTTTTTAAGCTTCTTTAATCTTAGAAATGACACCTTAGCAGCATCTCTGGGCAAAAGAGATCAAGTAGTTGAACTAATGACCGTACAAGAGCAAGAAGGTGGTCACAGGAATTTGTGTGCTGGTCATCACTGGCAAAAATCCATCCAGGTGGTTCAGGAGGTTGTTCTACCTATGGAAAGCCAAGGACTGGTAACTGCTAGGATTGTACTGCCAGCATGCAGATAGTGCCTCCTCCAGGAAGAAGCTCTCCCGTAGAGATACAAGCCACGTTCAGTTGAAGGTTATTTTTTCATTTCCTATTCAGATGGGATATTCTCACTTATTTTATGTAATAACAGGTAATTCTTTCACGCTATAGCTCGTGATGCATATTAATCAGTGTTCTTGCATAATTACAGTTTCTTTCAACATTCAAAATGCAGTTAAACTACTAATGACATTTTTCCCCCTCACTTCATCAGCCTATTTTGGGAGTGAAGGCCTGAAGTAGACACCCGAGCTTTGGGAATGGAAAACAGCCACGAGCCCGAATGTATTCACAGTACAGCTGTAGGGCAATAAGGTTGTCATCTACGCACAAAGATGCTTCCAAACATGTAAATATGATGTTAAAGTCTCCACCACTCCCTTCTCAGTGTTAAAGTCTCACACACCATCTTCTGCAGGCCATTACAACCAGTAAAAAGGAAACAACACTATTTTTATGATTACTGGTACTACTGTAGCACAGTGACATTCCTGAGACACAGATACAGTGTTAACACCCTACCCTTACCACTCCTGGTTTTCTTTATCATTGCTGGTATCAGAAATTAGAGTTGTAAGAAAACAGTTCAGATGAGTCAAACCAGAACTGCATGATAATGTTTGGTATCAAATGTGCCATTTGGATCTAAAAATCCACCTGGACATCAATATTTCACAAAATGATGAAGGCATGCAGATACGTAATACTCTGCAATGCTCTCGTAAAGCAGCTACAGGTTGGTTGTCCATAAAAATATTTCCACACAAATGTTCCATATTTAGCACACTTGCAACAACAGAACAAGTCTTACATGAGGAAGTGATAACTTAGTATTTGAAAATGCTGGTTGAACTACCTTCTCACTCACACAACACAACATAATAACCCACAGTCATCGTGTATGTAGCATACAATGCCTAGCAATGTACCAAGCGCTAGAGGGACATTAATATTTCACATAATATCTGCTTGACTTAAATAAAAGTAGGACTTAAAGCATTTGAAAGCTTAAAAAAATATCTAGAAATGTTTTTGGCATTTTCCCTAGCTTGGTGCTGTGTAAAATTAGCTAACTGCCTTTAAATATTTCCATTTTTATAACCCAACATCTATCTAATTTGCATAGACCTTTTACAAAAGAGTATGAGAGAAAAACATTAGAAAATGACCGTACAACTGTGAAGCTCATTTCTGAGGTAATTACAGAATCTATTATTTGTTAAGTTGATAACATTCCAGGTTGAGAACGTTTCTTTAACTGAAAATTTATTCCAGGCTAGAAGTACCACTATGCACTATGCCATGGTTTTATGATTTTGGTTATCAGTATTCCACACCATAGCATCATGTAATGCATGGGGGGTTTGACAACTGATGCTCAAGTTCTGGGTGCCTGTCCACAGGGGAAGAAGAACTACATTCCCCAGGGGCTTTGTGGCCAGTGAGGAGATAGAACTCCTGGCAGGGTGACCTGATGCTCTTTTCTTTGCCTGCATCGGCTCTTCTTCATCGGCTCAACTGGACTGCACTTCTCACCTCAGCGTTGTGGTGAGACTATATTTTGCTGATACTACATTTAGTAAATTAGTTTGTTTCTCCTCAGATTGCTGCTGTTTTTAATTATTTTGGGGTCCCCTGTTTCCCTTTTCCAGAGGTGTAGATTTTGTGAAATCCCTCCGCCCCGCTGGTCACGGAACCAGGCCGAACCAGCCCGTAAACCATTGACAACCAGGTTAACCTAATGTTGAAAAGTTCCCAGTAAAACATGTTTTGAAATTTCACGTATTATTTTTCACTACAGCAAAATGAATAATAAACTTCCAAGATACGTGAAAATCTAAGATTTCTAACACAAACTGCTGGGTAAATACATGGCCATATAGATACACAATTCTTTATGAAGATATCCAGTCAGACAAATTATTGAATATTAGCTGTGTTTATATTGCTTCTGCTCAAGTAGAAATCAGGCAAAATGCAAGTCAGCTCTGCTTTTAAAATCCAAGCAAGGATTCCAGCAAGGAAAAAAAAAACCCTACCATCAGGACCTCATTCTTTTTAATAATCTCAAACTTCTCCCTTTGGCAGACAGAATAACCAACATGTGTTAAAGATCTGGAAATGCTTATTCCAGAAGAGCTAGCCTATAAATAAGTCACTTTACATTTACTGTACACGTTTATTTTCTTCAATCATACATTCATACATCCTGAGAACATTCACTCATTTGCATCTGAATCACTGCCATATCAGTATTATTACAGCGATTACACCATTATGGCCTAAAGCCTGGCAGAAATCTCATCAAAATGCCCATTTCCAAAACATCCCCCAGATGTTTCATTCTAACAAGCAATCGCATCTCTATACTCTGTTCCCCTGACAATACGGAATCAGTCTCTTAACACCAGATTAATACAAGAATGGAAGATCATTTCTAGCTAAAAAGCAAGCACCACACGTTCTCTCACCCACTGATCATGCCAAGCAACATAATTCATGTTTTACACAGCTTCTCCAAATCAGCACTGCCTGGAAAAGCTGACAACATTGGGCAGCTGATTTGCTGCATCTGCATGTTGCTGAGCATTTCCCATGTTCACTGAACACAGCAATTTTTTCACAGCTGAACATGGCAGCTTTTGAAATACACGTCTGTGTGTTCAGTGTCAGCCCCATGAAGGTTAAGGACTGGCACGGACAATGAAGTTGAAATTCCTTGGGACCTTTTCCACTATTTTCTTGAAGTAGACTGACAAGCAAGCTACAGTATTTGAGAAAAAAAAAAGCAAAAATGTTGTTGTTGTCATTCATTATGCCTCTTCAGTATTCCATATCAACTCTCTCAAATCTATCCATGTTACAATCATTTTAAGTACAACGGTAAGCAAGACCTTTTTGGTAATCAGCATACGTAAAGTATCTCTGGAAACACTTCAAGCTTTGTGAAGATTGACTTCCACCATTTTGGGGAGAGAGGTATATTCAAGACAAAAATGTATGTAGAAATGGAGAGCAGGATTACCTTCCCTTAGACATTCCACCACAAAAGTGAATCCTGTAGTCCTTGGATGTAAGACATACTCATATTTTCGAAGACCATTCTTTTCAGCAAAGTCATTACTGCGAGCTTTGGTATTGGCTGGAGGAGACAATAAAAAAGGACAATTTTCTATGAGTGTGCATGTAGAGCAAGAATAATCATGACATGTTAGGAAAACAAGTAGAAAAACAATTCACACAGCACAAACATACAACAGCTTTTCAGTTGGGGGCCAACTGCAAGATGCTTTTGGTTATACATATATACATATACATATATACATATACATACATACATATATATATATATGTATATATACATATATATATATACATATATGTTGTGGCATGATAAAGAACAATGTCTACTGCAAAAACAGCTTTCCTACTTGCTCATTTCTTCTAAGAAAACACTCAGCAAATCCTTCATATTTATCAAATGCAACCTGAAATCTAGAAATTGAAGTTTAGTAGTTCTTCAGATACTTCAATACCCATTTTTAAAATAAAATGTATTAATGAGTTCACTAGCATTTTTTTAAATTAAAAAAAAAAAGCATGATGTGTAGTAATGCAGGTTTGATTTTACACCAGCTTAACCATGTAAAACTTACTTTGTAAAGAAAACATTAAGCAGAAAAAAATAGTTAATCAAATACATTGAAGCAGTATTCTAGTTCTTCATTTTGAACATGGTACACGTTATTCATCAATCTGCTCTACACATACATTCCCCATTTTAAACTTTCTGACCTAGTGCCCAATATCACAACACGAGGTTGTTGCCAGACACAGAACTGGCTAGGACCTGGAAGGCCACCAGGCCAAACCCCAGGACACATGGATTTCATAGAATCATTAAGGTTGGAAAACACCATTAAGACCATTAATTCCAACCACCAGCCCATCCTCACCATGTTCACTCACCACGTCCCTCAGTGCCACATCTCCATGGTTCCTGAACACCTCCAGGGACAGTGACTCTACCATCTCCCAGGGCAGCCTGATCCTTGCTTGTCTTTTTGAGAAGAAATGTTTCCTCTTATCCAATCTGAGTCTCCCCTGGAGCAACTCAAAGCCATCCTATCATCCTACCTCTATTACCTGGGAGAAGAGCCAACTCCCACCTTGCCACAACCTCCCTTCAGGCATGTAGAGAGCCATAAGATTTCCCCCGAGACTCCTCTTCCCCAGACCAAACAATCCCAGCTCTCTCAGTTGCTCCCTGTAAGACTTATGCTCCAGACCCTTTACAGCTTCGCTGCCCTTCTTTGGATACTATCCAGGGCTTCAATGTCTTTCTTGCAGTGACAGGCCCAAAACTGAACACAATATCAAGTACTGGTGCAGCTTCACCAGATCAAAACTCTGGCAGAAAGAATTCTACCCAGAGCAAACCGAAGTTTTAAGAGCCAATTGCTAACAGAGCTCACTAAGGGAGAGAGAGGTAGATACAGTGGAAACTCCTCAAAACAAGTGGAGAAGCAGCAATTTGTTCTCTCCCATATTAGGCAACTTGAAAGCAGAAGTCCAACAGCCTTGGGGGCTGTGCTTATCCTTTGCTGTGGGTACTTCTGCACCTCGCTTTGGGCCAAAAGGCAAAGGACTCATAGAATTTCCCCATGGCAACAAGAAATCATTTTACATAACTAACATATTAAAGAACTAGTATTTATAGAGTCCCACATGGTGTTTTAGAAGATGAAATCCTAGCACACATCTGTGGAAGAAAATCACTGCCTAAGCAATTCATAATCTTTCTCAAGCAGAAACAGCTCTTTTTTTCTAAGTGCCCACAGTTAACCTTACCAGAGATGAGAGATAAACTACTGGAAAATCATACCAAGGCTTAATAATTTAACAGAACTGCTACATATAGGCAAGTTCTATGCCTTACACTCAAAACTTCACCATATAAAGGGGCAACAGAACATGCTGACAAATCAGCACAGTAGTACAGATGCCTTTTTTGCATGTATACATCTTTCTAATTTCTAAACTGCACGAGCTCATCATTTATCAGCCAATGTGGGTCTCTCTTTCACTATTTATCAGTATTCCACTATTTATCAGCTATTTATCAGTAAGTGCTATATCAGTTTTACGAGGTACTCTTCCACTGTGGCCTATTGTTACCTGTATAAGGTAACGTGTTACCTACACGCCTTACAGACCTGTACTCCTCAACATCTACTGCACAACATCTCCTGACCTTGTGACTTGGAGGAAAGGAAATTATTACAGCACAGTAGCCAAATGGTTCAACAAGGAACAGCCAAAGATTTAATTCCTGCCAAGTTGTCAAAACCTACAGATACTTGAAAATATTACATCTTACAGCAGTGTTGTAAAAATCATAGAATGTCTGAAATGCTAAAATTACATTTGGCTACATAACTTAAACTCATCTTTCCCTGAGCATATGTATGATGGCTCTCGTGACTGGAGTACCTATTTTTGACTGCTAGACTGCTATTTCAGTGTTGAAAATAGACTATTGTGAATCAGTGAAGGGAACTTGCCTGTAGGATCCTTGCCTCTGTTGTGGCAAAACTTGAAAAATGAGTCATAAGCAAGGCTTGGAGTGGCAGAGAAGAATAATCCCCTAAGTATTAAACGTTCATCTGAAAAGCTGGGCTCTATCTTACAGCCATAACTGTATTGTACTGTTAGGACAATGACCACTAGGTTTCCTCCAAAAAATACACAAGTCAAAAGCTCTAAAGCTCTTTTCCAAATTCTGTGATGATTCAAGTAATGTGCTTAAAAATAGTTCATCACAAAGTTTTTAAGCTACTGTGCTGTTTCTTCCAAAAGACACTATAAGCTTCTACTTCATTTTCTGCATATGCAAATTAAGATTTCAAATCTGCAAATCGGGTCAAAGCTTTGAGACAAAAGTGCTATGCAGTTCCACATTAGCTGAGCAGTTTAAAACAATCAAAACCTTAAGCATCTTAAACTGCACAGTGTTTGTGTGCACCCAGAAACTACTCCTCTATATGCCTGCTCACTAGCACTTCTGTTACAAAGGGCAGCACGAAAACAAGTTCTGTCTGCTGAACACTTCTACTTGCACAACATACAAAACAATGAGTAAATAGGCAGCTTATTTTTCTTTACCCTGTAAATAAAGTCAGAACCTGTGCTGCTCACTGCATTGAAATAAAACTCACACTCATCTCCTTGTACTTGGAAAGATTTCACTGTAAACATCTGCAAAGCATCTTCTTAATTTCCATTTACTACAATGCCTTTCTAAAAATGTGAACAGCTGGACACTGGTGCTCCAGCCAACACTCATCAGCTATTTCCTTATATTCCATTTGTTTGTGCCCCTCTTGTCTCTGGACTGTAAGTTTTATATAATGGATTGTTCCATCCTCCTTTTCATGAGCCTAGTGTAATGGGATTTTAGAAGCAAAGTGACACAGCTAACACAATGATCATTCTCTTCTGGAAGAACTATTTTCCTCTGCAATTTGTAACATCTATCAAGCCACGGGCCTTTTTGCATTATATTTATTATTACAATACTGTAATACAGCAAGTTAAGGAGGTCAAAGGGGTTTTGATGCTATCCTGAAAGCGCAGGATAGACTTCCACTATACCAAAAAGTAAGCATCACACTCTTCCTCCCCATCCTGTCTCTCCTGGCATTTTTTAAAACAGTATGTTATTTTGATATTATTTCTGCATAAATGCACTGACTGCTACATTATCTGATGCAAGCATCTCAGTGCATGCTGCTGCTTGCAATCCCTGCATGAGACACCTGTGCTTAAACCTTCTGAGTGAAAGTCAGAACAAATCTGCTTAGTACAAAGTTCAACAAAAGCCAGAAAATTGGATGTTCCATATTACATGAAACTTCGAGGTTAAAAAAATGATGCAGGAAATTAAAAATACATTTATTTTATATCCTCTCCAGCCTAAGTGAATTTACACAACAGTCACCTCCTATAAAACCCCTTAGTCAGCAGTCAACACTGCAGAATTTGCGTGGGTGATTCATTATTCTGCAGGCAAACTTGTAATATTTGTAGGTGGAAGCAAGAAGAAGAAATAGAACTGTAGGATGCCTTTGCAAGCCTGTTAATGAAGACACTTCCTTAAAAAGGGGAAATGCAAGTGTGATGCGAGCTGCATAAAGGAGCACTTGGAGCAGGGACCAGAACTGAACTTGGTTTAGGTCTTCCCAGTCCCCAAATGCCACTCACATAATCTGGAAAAAGGTAACGCTCCCTGTTGCTCACTCACACACACACACACACAAAACATATTGCTTTCTATAAACAAATATTTCTGTTTTTTTCCTCTGCAAATAAGAATTAAGCCAAATAAATCTACCTCCTAAGCTCTCACTCATCATTCCTATTAGATGAATTTTGCATTTTATTTTAACGCCTTGGTTCCAATAAGAAGGATTAGGTTAAATGATCTGTTCTTATGAAAAAACTTCATATTTGGATTTCAAAAGGAGCACAAATTATAAAGGCAATAAATGTCCAGTAAGGTATTTATTCTCATGGTAAGGTTATGCTATGTGCACCTTTAAGAGACACCCAACTAGGACTGTATCAAACCCTACACTGTTGAAGAAAGAACTTCAGATGATGTAGGTAAATGATGGCAAACAATGTTGGTTTTCACAAACAGATCTTCTATCAGCCAGATGTAACTCCTATTAGAATAGCTATATACAAACATAAAACCTCCCTACATCCTCATCTAAGTCCTGTCATATAGGCTAACAATTATTTCACAAGGTAACATTTACTAGTTGTGCTTGTTTCTGTTCCAGTGTCTCAGCTGATCCATGCAATTACTTGGAGGACAGGTGGCAAGCACAAGACGACCCATTTACCTGAGGCCACACTGCTGCAGGGCACTTGTCAAATTATGCAATTTTTCCTCCACTTATCTCAAAATTTATGTTGGGAAGTCTCAGTAACTGCATTACTGCTGGAAAAGCTCAGACGTCAGCAGCATCACAGAGGCACCATATCTCAGAATCTCATTTGAAGTGAACTGGAAGATGACGTTACGTTAATCTGCTTCCTTTGTCTTCAAGCTATACTTCAGGAACTTAGAATTGCTTTATACCCATGAAATCCAGAGAAGGAAAAGTGAACAAACTCCTGATCTTTTAAAACCATTTTAATTTATACTGCAGTTTTGAATTAAAAGAAAAACCTCTAGAATTTGACTCTGAAGGGAGCCATAACACAGTAATGAGCTGCACTTGCTAATGTAAAGATTTGGAACTACAGCTCCATAATCTGTGCCAAAGAAGGAGGTACGTCCATGCTTCCCCAAAAACACATAAGCAGCATGAAATCACCTCAAAAGAACAAGCTCACGTGTGTTTACGTCCAGCATTTTCCAGCTGATGCATTTTGCTGGTCATCACTCAAAAGAAAGATACATTACCCTCATCATCCTACTGGAATGCTAACTCAGACAACTTCAATACAACTCTCAACTCTTTTCTTCCTTTTTCATTAGCACTGAAATTTGGATATCACGTACTTCCTTTTCTTTAATCAGGCTTATGATAGAAGCACACATGTATTCCCATGGCGTCAACTACTCCCAAATGCCACTGGTACCAGACGGAAAGAAGAAGTGGACAGTCCAAAAGTCTCTTTTTTAAACAATTTCTCATTCATCTGTTTATCAGAAGTTTGCATTGAGAGCATAATAGCTATATTGGCTCACAGTTACCCTTTTAACAAAAAATCAAGCAGTTCTTGCTCGTACTGTTTTCAAACTACTACCTCTTAAACTCTACCAGCGTGTCTTGAGTAATTGTTTGTGCGTTACTCCAGCACATGACATTTACTACAAAGGAGATAAGTACTACAGTACTAAGCTATCTTCTAAATAAAATAGTTTCACATCACAACTGCCTAAATTTTGGTATCAACAAACTTTCCAACTTTTGTTTGGTTTTTAAGCTATTTCTTATGAAAAAAAAAACAAAAAAGTCTGTGGAATCACAGTTTGGCATAGAGAAGAGATTCATAGATAGTTAAGCCCTAAGGAGTTTTCAGAAAAACGAATGGCAGAACAAAGGGGAGCTGCCAGCAGTAGAGATCTTAGTAATGGGAAAAGCTGGCATATCCTCTGCAGGCAGTGGGCCTGTTGGGGCTTTCAGCACAGCGTGCAGCAGTTAACACGACTGCTGGAAGGAGAACCACAGCACATAATGCCTCCTGCAGAAACAGCAGCAAGAAAGATTTGTGGGAATGTCACATGAAAGGAAACCCAAGAAAAAGGAAAAATTGAAGAAGAAACCACGTGTAGGGATGCAGACAAATCCACAGGCAATGGATCCTACGGAACAGACTCAGAACAGTACAGCAACTTTTTTTGTTGTCTTACTACTTTGTAGAAAGTTACTACAAGAGCTTCACACGGATCATCAACAAAAAAAATGAGCAAAATGGTGGGCTGCACGAGTTGTTTGTTTTCTTCAAGTCTTCAGAAAGTCTTAAACAACTTCTTAAACAATTACAATAAAATGCCTTTGGTGTATTTAGCTTTAAGCTTCAAGCACTCCAGAGTGAAAAGATGACCAACCGACCAAAAATAATCATCAATTTTATACACAGATTGCAAACACATTGTTCAGGGTTCAATGACATTACTACTTTTTAAACTTACTTAAGCATCATCTTCCAATGCAAAGTACCTCAACAACTTGAGCTCAGGCAGCAGACCACATATACTTTGTGTTTCTTTTAGATCTTTCATTCTTGAATATTTGAAAACATTATACAAGAGTAAATGTATCGCTGCCAGTTAGCTTGAGAGGGTAAGAATTACAGTGGCAAAGAGCTGCCCAGCAACACTCCTTTCCCCTGAAGTACCACACTGCTTCCTCCCTGGGCTGCCCAGCGGACTGGGGGGAAATTAGCACCATCAATCAGTGGTAGCTGAAGCTACCAGGAGAACGGAGTAAACACTATTTGTTGCTGCAAGGTGATGCTGCATTACATGAGCATGAGAAACGACAACTAGAGCAACAGAAGAATCCCACCTGCATCAACTTCTGAGCTGATGGCATATACCTAAATATAGGCAGAGTTGTTTATAACCAGTTACAGTGGAGAAGAGACAACCCTCTGCTGCCTTATGGAACTCCACATTTGGGTGGGGAACATTCCCACCACTGCCTCTGGGACTCCACAGCACAACTGCTAATATTCTGCAGCTGCCTTAGTCCTCAGCTAGTTCTTGTTTAAAATTGTAATAAGGAACTTCTTCAGTCCTTTAAAATCTGTTGTCTCTGAGGAATACTCGGAGAGATTGGAAGGCATACATAATTTGTGGGTAAATTATGAACAACCCAATCCTCTTTAACCATCTTGGAATGGAAACACCTGGGTGACCCAAGGAGACATTTTCTGACACGGAGTAAGATTAAGAATTTGTCCTAACTCAGAACAACCAGAATACAGGTAGTCATTAATTTAAAAAAAAAAAAAAAAAAAAGAGATAATTTCCATCCCCCTTCCTAATTTTAGATACAATTACTAATTCAGCAAGAGATATCATGTGATGCAGCCCAAGAATGTTTAATGATCTATCCTCCTTTAGGAAGAAGGATCGAGTGACAACAACTCCCCGCAGTGTGATGCCATCTGAACATTACGTATCCGTGTTTAAGGGTACTGGGAACATGAAGAAGAAAATAGCAGTTTCCATTATGGATTTTCACACCGTGCCTAGTATTTACTGATCTGACATTGCGATAAGGCATGATTTGAGAATAGCTGCAAAGGAAAGTATAGTAAAGATCTAAAATAAGCTAAAAGGTAAAAGTCTAGTTGTAATGGTTTTCTGTTTTAAAATTGATGCTTATCAAATAGTGCTGCAGGCATAAAGAACCACAGAACATTCATAAAATGCTTTCTTTTATTGGCATTTGAGTCTTTTTCAACAGCAGTCAGCAGCTTGCTATGGCTGCTGTAAAACACACCTGCATTAACACAGATATTTTTACTAAGAATTAAGCAAACATTTAACTCATTAAATTGATTACAACAATAACACTGACATTTGTTTTCAGGAAACATTTTTTCTTTTAGATGCAGATACAGGCAATTAACATGGCCTAATGAAGAAGTATATCCATTTTCTCCTCTTAAAACATGAAGCAAGAAATCTAATAGAATCATTAGCTCTCATCTTCAAACACCTTTCACAATTTTGCACTGTTCATCCCAGTCACATAGAAAATACGAACATAAAAGCAATTTATTCCAGGTCTTGTAAACTATTTTTCTAATACAGTACAAAGGTAGAATTAACCAATGTTAAGCTCTTTCAATTATGGGATGCTTTTGAAACTTAACAGTTATTTCTGGAAGACTGGTTAAACCCCTTAGTGAAACCATGCCTGTGTTTCTTGGGTATATTAGCACATCAAGATCGTTAACTACATTTTCTACTGCCTGAGAGAATGCAGTATTGCTCCTAGCTTGGATGTTTTTTCAATTATTTCCACAAATAACAAAGAATTTCCATATCAATCACTACACAAACCAACAAATTTATCCTACCTGTGAGATCAGTTCCTTCCGGAAAGATGAGGAGTTGTAGTGGCTCATGAATGTCACAGAAATAATGCAGCATTTTTTCGAAGTGACCCTTGTCATCTTCCCATTTTCTCTGAATGAAAATAAAGGCAGCAACCTGCATCGCCCAGCCTGTAGTTTAAAAATACATCTTTAGTAATATTTCATGGTCATACTGCCACAGTGTCTGTTATTCCTAAATACTGTACAGATTGTGTCAGACGCACCATTTTATCTAAAATCAGCTAAGCAGATGGAGCCCACGCAGCCAACATGCCTTCTGCAATCTGGACCTAATGAGTCTCAGATACTCAGATTATGAACGATATCCAGAGAGCTGAATCCTGGAAAGGGTTACGTGAATTAAGAAGGGAAATGCTTGGGATGCAGTCTCAGCAAATCCTGGCAAATTTCTAAACTGCATCTTGTTAAAAAACCTTTGTGCACAAACCAGTATGTTCACCACCAAATCTGATGTGCATCCCTGCACATTCCGTGAGCCCACATCTTTAAGTAGCTGCCCATACAGCTTTTGCAGTATAGGCCATCCACATTTGAACAAATCATTTGCAGGAAAAAATAAAGATCAATTTTGAAATAATTAAAATGTGACTTCCACAGTTGAAATGTGCTCTGTTCTGGCATTTAACCACCTTCTATTATTACAACATGTTTTACTACAATAGTACAAAGAGGAGATCTTTTCATATAAAATTATGTCAAATACCAAACGGTACCACAGCATTCAGTTATTCTAGGGGGCACCCCAACTGAAATTAAATTCTTTAAAACAGCAAAGGAAAAAAGCCCTCTAAGCTGTAACAGAAATGCCTTCTCCCAGTCACAACTCTAAGAACACAGCAAGCTCCATCAGACAGAGTGCAAAACACATTTTAGGAAAGTTCTACAGCCATTTTGGTAAGTTCCTTCCACTCATTCTTACCATACTGTCTAAACTTTCTGTATGTTTTATGTACTCAAGTCAGTTCCCTTGAATTACTTTATGCAAAAACTGTACTGTGCTAAGCTGTTTTATTGTTTGGTATCACACATCAGATCTAAATAACTTAGTCCTCAAGTTCTCAGCACAGCCTGTGGGTGGAAGGAAGGGAAGCAAGAAGCAGAATAAGTGATCAGACGGGAAGCACGCTGATATTGTCCCAGGTCAGCAGCTCCTCAGGAAATGTGATTTTGGTCCACAATAGAGAGGGACCATGGAAAAAAAAACAAACCTGTCAGATTCCATCCTCTCCCTTGGATCTCCGCAAGGAACACGAGGCTTTAAATTACATGAAAGCTTCCACAGTAAACTCTTTCCAGTGATCCTTCTTCAACATCACCAAGAACATCAAATTACACAACACTTGTAGCTAACAAGAAAGCTGCTTGGGTGACTTGTATTTTACTTGCTTAACATCCCTTAAAGCAGAAGATATCCAACATTTCCTCATTCCTATCCTAAGTGGTGGTGTTATATACAGGCCATGAAAAATTAAACAGGCAGTGATATAATGACAGTGTCAAGGAAGAAGGACAAAAGACAGAAATGAGTTGGGAGGCATCTAGCCTTTACAAATAACCACAGGTTTGATTTTATAATCTAAATATAACATTCAGTGTACTGGAAGGTTTTTTCTATATTTAAATCTGTATATAATTAGATAAAAAAGCCCTGACTGCTCCTACAAGAGCAGATTATCTAACAGTCAGATGACAGATAGCAAAGGATCCTGGTTTCCCTCCCTATTTTCTCCAGCACAGCACACCAGGCCAAACTATTCTGACTTCTATGAAAGTTGAACAATCTTCCACATTTGTTCAGCACTAAAGCCTCCAGTGGAGTGTGACATGAATGTGAATTCCTGCTTTCAGTCACAGTCCTGGTCCATACAACCAGTGACGGCGATGTCTGCTGTTTGCATGGCTCACCATTCTATTAGATTCAAGAGAGGAAACGTGGCACAAGCTGGCCAACATATGTCTTTAAACAGAATGAAAACAGGCTCCTGCTTTGATTTCCATGCCACAGTCTGTCTGCATCATGCTGCTGGAAAAACAACGCAGAACCAGTCTGAGACATGATGTGAGGTCTAAACGGGAGGACAAAGGAAGGTGGAGGAATTCAATATAGCATTGAGCAAAAGGAAAGATTTTGCCAATAAGCAAGATCTAAAAATAAGAAGAAGGAAGTACCTTCTCATGTGCTGCCTGCAGGGAGAGATGCTGTTCAGCTGATTAAGTTTAGGACAAGATATTGTCTGACAAAAGTAATTACATTGTGCTTGCTTGCACAGTGGTTCTGGTCATCCAGAAGGTGCTGGGCAACAGGAATTTTCCAACCAAAGGCAGCATTTACTTGAACGGGGAAAAACCATTCTCCTGTTTGCAGATTTTTGAGAAATGTTGGATTAGGAAAACATCTTGTAACATTCAACATTTACGATAACCAATACAGCTTGGAAAAGCATACAACAGTAGATCTCTTAATGAAACCTGCAAAATGGTTAGCAGCACAAAAGTTTTACTAGGTAGAATACCTAGCCACAGTGACATTTAAACGATTGTTTTTTTAGCTGAAAAAAAAATAAAAGATGAACCTTCAAATCTCTGAACAAGAGAAGTAAGATGTACCTAAGAGTTTCCTTACTACCTTGGGGATAAAGCAAATTACAGCTTATACAGGTTGAGTGTTTGCAGCACTGTATTAAAAATGCTAATAGCAACTACAAATCTTTATTTTAGGACTACACTTCTATCTCCCCCAAACCTTTGGTCTGCCAAGGGACATTTGCCACCAACAAGAACCATCCACATGACACACCAGTCACAGGAGAACTCTTCCCAGTAGGTTTCACTTATGCCAAGGATGTAGGAGCTCTGGGACTGAGCCAAGACTTCTAGCTGCTCTTGCGTGTTCCTCATGCTGAGTACATTGGTGTAATAACATTTCCAATGCACTTCATGGTAACCAGCAATAGTATCCATGTATTTCCTACAACTGCTAAACTAAACCACACACACACATCCAATAAATGATTCAGAACTATAAAACTAAGAAGGAAAGTGTAAGGCCTAGCTATGGGGCCTCCTTACTCTACCCATTCATCTTCCCTCTTTTCTTCCATCAGATTTTTCACTGTTTTTCATATCAAGAGTTCTCTTGGTCAAATAAAAGCATTATTCAGTGAGTATATTCAATAGGGACATAGCCTTGCTCAGGCTTCTGACATAACAGTGAACCACATGTCTAGGCTTAGTCAGAGAAACCACTTGGAAGCTCATGATCATGCATACAAATCACAGGTCCGATCAGAGTTTGGTACTCCAAGTGTTTCACTGCATAAAACACAAGGCAACTAGCACGCAATTCTAAGTACTCCTTATTTTGCAGATCCTTATTTTGCAGATTTTGTAGGTATGGAAAACATGTCAGCACGCAGCAAATTACATTGGAAAACAGGGTTAGTGTTATATATACAAGGTTAAGTTTCGATCTTTATAGTGTGCTGAGCAGATTTCTGAAAGTTCAATCAGACTCATTCGTTTTACTGCACTTTTCTGGATAGTTTTATGTCTAATAGCTGAAAGCAAATTAAAAATTAAAAGTTTTCTTCCACATAATGGTTTAAGTGCATAAACTAGGAAAGTAATTAAAGAAATGCTTCTCGAAATAGCCTTGCAATGCACGATTTCCACTCCTTGCAATTGTTTTTAACAACACTCCTTAACAATAACATAGTTAATAGTGGTGTGAATTGAACTACCATCTGATTTGATGCATTCTTTAAGCAAATTAGAACTGTAAAACTAGCTAAGAGATAAAATTCACGGATATCCATTCTAGCACTCCCAGCTCCATAGTGAAAAAAGCTGATTCAGTTGTGTTAAAGTATCTATTTAACACTCGTATGCTTTCGCTATTACCTTGCCCTTTCAGATTTTGTATATTACTTTAATCTGCATCTGGTTTTTTGGTTATGTTTGTAGTCACATTCAGTTTACACTCAGATTTTACACAGGTATTTACTTCAAAGCCTGCTTATTACTTGGACCAAATAACAATCTATTACAACACATGTGAAACAAACCTTTTTTTCTTCAACGACTGAGTGAACAAATGGCGATGCTAGAAACACAGAATCGTAAGACAGGATCCAAATAGATGCACAGTATCTATCACAGTAAACACAAAGGTTTCTTTCAATATTCAATCCCTTAATCATGGTTCTGAAATATCCTATTTGGGCACTTAGCACTCAAATATTCATTCTGTATTTGCTAAATTGTATTATTTTTACTTAATACAGACTATCAGACGACCTATTAAATCTACAACTATATTAGTGCTATTTCCAAATAAACCTTGCACTAAAATGCTTTAGTTACTGTGAAGGAACATTAAACCTATTCAGTTACAACATCTATCTTAAAATAACATTTCAAATGTGATTTGATGCTCTGTATGAAATCGTTAATAACATAATTTGCAACTAAAGCAAAGGGTTAGCAGCTAGAATGGCAGAAAGGCTGCTTTTTCTAATGCTTTATAAAAATACAGCAACACAGTCAAATCGTGAATGTAAACTTCAGTATTCAAAAGGAATGTGAGAGATGTTTTTCTCTTCACAATTCAATACTTTTTCCATTGGCTGGCATCTTCTTCAGATGCTCCACTTCCTTAAGGGAAGACTGCAGAAGTAAAGACTACAGAAAGTACTGGCTGCCTAACCTGAAAGCAGAAAAGGGCATAATTAACTTTTCAAGCTGCATCTCTGCACTGGGTTCCACAAAGGTGAGCTTTCTCAGCCCACATTCGCAGTCAAGCTGGTGTCCAGTGCTGCCAGGTGAGAGTAGGACCAGCCAAGCTGAGATGGGCAGAGAAAGACCTTACCCCTAACTAACAGGGCCTGAAGAGTTGATCCATAGAGGTCCAGCAGCATAACCTAGTGATAACTGCAAAGGAATGTAAATTGGAAAAACATGCTATGCAAATTGTGCTGTATTTATTAGGTGAGCTCAGACAAAGTAAACACTCTCTTCACCAACTGCTATTTGTACAACGGAGAGAATGAGAAAGGTTATAATCTGATCTCACTCTTTTGATGTTTGTCTGGGAGAGGCAAAGGTGGCAA